CCGCCTCAGCCTCAGCCCAGGCCTGATAACACTTCTGCTTACTGCGTAATGCAGTCTTACAGGAGCGACCAAACCAAGGCTGAGATCTGCTTCCGATGGGTACCACAGATGATGGAATAAATAGTTCCATTTCCTGTAGCACCACGTCACTGACAGAGGCAACAACAGCGCTGGGATCATCCGGCGAGAATCAAACCCGCTGTCTGTAATGATCTATATCTATGATCATTACAGACAGCGGGTTTGCTTCTCGCCGTATATACAATATATGCTACATTGGCGATGGAGAAATTGGAGCAAGAGCAAAATACATCACTGCGTATAATGTGCATGTGTGGAAGATAATAGTGCTGCACCATGCATTGCCTGCCTCAAATTCAATTATCCATATTGGTTGCAGTATATTCGTCTTTTCAAATTTTTTTTACATCTTTATTTTTTAAAAAAGGGTTTTGTCATACACTGACTATGTCACTCCCGTAAAATGTAGGAGGATGGAATAGAATTGCAAATGCCTACCTTGTGGTTATGCAAAAATGACATGTCTTGCCTATGTACCTCGTTCCGAACACACTCCGTCAAAACATGGTGCACATCTTCTATAGTATCACACTGAGTATTTAGGGGAATCTGATATTCCCATCAGAAATCGGAACTTATTCGACAGGATGTGTCCTGAACGAAGTCTTAAAAGCGCTACAATATTCTTCCTGTTTATTTCATATTTTTCAAACCATGGGTAACACTCCTTGTTACCCATGGTTGACACTGAATTGTCTTGTACCATATTCCCTTACAAAGTGAGCGTTTATCAAAATACTCCCATAACTGCCTTACAATCCACTTTAACCTCACGTAACAGTTCGCTGTGTACTGGTAAAATACTTTATGTAATACCATCGCTTAAAGCTTGGTTCGGAGCTCGATCAGCCTTGTTACCCGTGATGCCTGTATGCGTAGGTATCCATTGGGTGATTACCACCTGTACTACACTTATGGAATCTATGATACTGTAGGATATCAGAAATCCTCGAATACTCGAGGGTAGCAGAGCCAAATCTAAAAGGGCACTTTTAGCATCGGATAATATGACAAATTGATTGTAATTCAAAGTTGTAACATACGATAAAGCCTCGAAAATAGCTATCAGGTATCAGCTCACAGTGCGTTATTGAAACGTCAGCCCTAATTTTAAATCTTACACAAATATTCATCTGCTGGTCAACAAAGGCTGCACCGTTTTATTCTTTGATCCATCTATGTAAATCTTAGTGTGTGTCGCACTTACTATTTAGGAAGTTGCAACATATATTACGTAAACTATTTACCTATACCGACATGCCTCTTTGGGCGTTTTATTCCATCAATTGTTGTCTTAATATGATATTTCATATCTAATAATCCAATCACTAAGAGAGTAAATCAAAAGGTTGGGGTCAATGTGGATAGGAAAATTACAATATTTATTATGAGTTTGAACCAGTAACGGAACTTTCTTTCTCCTCCAGTATACGCCATTATTTTTAATTGACCTAGACTTAAACCAAAATTTTGCAGCAAGATATCGTCTACGAATGGGACAGTGGTTGTAGACATAGTTCACTTTCCATGACGTGTATAGGGGTGCTTCTTATAAATCCGCCTATCACTCTCATCGCTTGATTCTGTACTTTATCTAGTTTGCATAAATTACTTTTTACACTGCTGTCATATAAAAACAACTGTAGTCTAATCTGCTTCTAATTAATGAAATATAAAGACGCCTTGAATGCTTTGGATGAACACCCCATTTTGAACCTGCCAATACTTTAAAGATATTTAGAAATTTAAGTATTTTGTCCCAGGTTTCATTTGTGTCTACCCCATTTTAAGTTCCTGTCCAGCCACATACCTAAACACTTAACTCTACTGTTTCTTTCAATATGTTCATTACTGATGTTTAAAGTAATATTATTACTATTTGAGTTTCTCAAATGTCCCCTCATGAATATGCAACTTTGGTTTTTCTATGAGAAATGTTTAAACCGATATCTGTTACCATAATGTTTAAAGCCGCTAAAGTATTTTGAGTAACAGAAACTGCATCCACTATATTTGTATGGCTAGAATAAAATACAAAATCATCAGCGTATTGAGATATGAATACTTGATTCAAATTTTTACACATATTCATAGTTGTTGCGTTAAATAATAATAGAGATAAGGGGTCAACTTGTGCTATAGCGGTTCCAGTAAATCTACTTACAGCAGGCCTCTGTCACTCTTGCTACCTGCGTGAAAAAATTACCTACAATCGCGAGCTGCTCCAGGGGTAGATCGCAGTCGGGGCTAGCGCGCTCTAGACGATTGAATATTAAAGTTTTTTTTAACGCTGTTTACGTAAATAATTTTTTTTATAAATAATTTAATTGTAGGATAAAATAGTTGAAAAAGCTTTAATGTAATTTAAGAATTATATATATTTATATTACCTATCTATTTGATAAATTATAATGGCAAAACGTCGTTCCTACTATAAATGTTGCGGGAATGGATGCTTAATGAGCAATTAAAAGGATTCAGATATATCATTTTTTAAGTTACCGAAGGATAATGAAAGGTATGTTTTTTTTTATTAGATAGGTAGGTACGAAAAATAATTAAGTAGTAATTTAACTACAGAAGTAATACCCACTACCTACTTACATTACTCACTACCCAAGTACCTACTTACATACCTATACTCGTCTTTGTAATTAAAATATTTTAGGTTATAATAGCACAAAATACTGAAATTAAAACTTTGTTTACAAGATTTTCAACTAAGTAGTACGATCATATTTCTGTTAGGAATCGTATTTCGGGTTTATTTGTTGTTTACGCTATCTAGCCTTTTTAAAATTGCGTTTTCTTTTATAGGAATTGGATGTGCCAACATTAGTTTTCATCTTAATCATTAAATGGTCACTTCCCAAGTTTTCATTTAGTACTATCCAGTCGAAGAGATATCCAGAGAAGCTAGAGATAGGTCGGGGGCAGATCTTTGTCCTATGCAGTTAACCAGTTTGATTCTAGTATGTGTGCCGTCATGCAGTGAAACAAAATTGTTGTCTAAGATGGAATCCAAAATTTCGTCGCCTCGTGAATCCGTTCTAGTTGACCAGTTAGTGTGGAGACCATTAAGATCTCCTGCAATTAGAGTATTTCATGTGGCTAGATTGAGGATTTGGTCCCAGTCTCTCATTGTGGCAGATGGCTGGCAGTATAAGGAGTATATACATTTTCTATATGTTTGCAATTTAGAACTCTTAATGTGAAGGATCTCAATTTCTGAATTTAACAGTTCAACATTACTTTTTGTGCCTTAACTGACCTATGTGTTAATATCGCTACGACTCCAAATCCGTAAGCACGATCCCCTCTAAAGGCATTATAATCGCTAATGTGAAAGTGACTACCTGGGTCTAACCAAGTTTCGCGTGATTCATTTTTAGATGTAGGTTGTGTAAGTAGAGGCGAATCATTTTTCATGTTCGGTGGTCGAGGCGACGATGGGACATATAGCATAAGGGCTTTTCTGAAAGAACAGTTAAATTCTGCCATGAGCTCTCTAATTCGTTTCTCCTTCAAGAAAGGACACATTTTAGCCATTGCCATGTGTTTTACTATACAGTTATTACATTTTAAAGTTGTTATTTCACAGTTAGGATGACTTTTTGTACATTCGGGACAGAGTACTTTGAGAGAAGGGCACATTATAATCGGGTGAGCAAATCGCCAGCAACGGGAGCATTGTGTCACTGGGTAAGTGTAAGGACTCACTTTCACCATAGTGTCATAGATGTAAGCATACGACGGTAATGATGGCCCTTTAAAACATATTCTTACAGATTCGCTCAGCTTCCAGTGACCGCCGTAAGTGTTCTTTCGCTTTAGCCTTTTTTCCGCTAAGATCAAAGTTTCGCTATTAATTCCTTGTAATAGCTCTTCTTCGCTCAATTCTAGATCAATATCTTTTATGACCTCATAGGATTGATTAATTTCTTGAGTTTATTGACATTCAAAACCATTCTCTTTAAATTTCTTGCGCTGTATTAAATACTCAGCACTTTCTTCGCTATTAAAGTGAATCAATACCTTAAATTTATTTATGTATTTAACTTTCGTGACGTTTTTTATACTTTCTGCTTTTAACATTTTTGCCAATCCGAACTGTCACCTCAATTTTATCCTCCGGAATTCTCGTGAACACACTATCCTCTATGTGTATATTATGTCTATTTGCCCTTCGCCTTTTTGAGGGTCTCTCTAAAAACATGTCATTCCTATCTTCCGTATTACACATCTGTGGAATATCCTCCGTGCTCATTGTAATCTCATTTTCACTGTTTTCAGTAAACACACTATTTTCCACATCCACCTCACTTTGCATATAATTCAACAGCGTTACTATTCATAAATAAACGACCTCACTGTTAACATGGTCAAAAAAAAAAAGGTCTAGCTGCAGCTGCAGCGAGCGCCCACGCAACTATCTTCTGATTTTACGCAGATGATGTGATAATTTTTACCCGAAAGAAAGGCCAAAAGAGTGATAACGATTTTAGAAGGCTGTGTATGAATGTATGTTCATCTGTTCGCTGAGATCTAAACTATTCATTATATTTTGACAAATTAGATGTCTTTAAAAGCATTGTGCCCTTTCGCGGATTTTAGGCTGCATGAAGTCAAATAAAACTAACATAAATACATGTTATAAAAATGTTAACTAGAGAGAAAGTAAATGTAGCTGTTGCTTTAATCAAGTTTATTTGCAGATCGATAACTGTTGTTTGTAACAGAGATTTTTTGAGGCTTTTGAGGTTTGTAAAAGAAAATTTTATATTTGTTTTAAGTGTTATATTTTTTATTTTGAATTTCGTGTACATGTAGTTCGTCAATTTAAGATTTCAACGTGTAAGTATTAGGTACTCGCAGCGAGAACAATTTAAGCACTTAAATATTAAACAAGCTATAATGCTCTAATCAATAGGACCGATAAACAAGGCGATGGCATTTAGAATGGCGGTGTCTTTGTCGAAGTCCGGTGCAAGCGGTGCATTGACGTGAAATAATAATTCTTCCCGAGATTCGTTGTTGTAAACAGGAACTTCCAGCGTTCTAGCCGAAGTCAATGGTGTTTCAGTACTCTGAAAAAGGAGCATATATCGTTGACGTTAATAAGATACTGTGATAAGTGTTGATAGTATTAGAGCTGGCGACGAATTTTGGGAAGGTCCTTTTGGCAAGTTGAAATTGTGAAAAAATATAATTTCGTCAATTGGCGAATCCAGTCCTGCGAGTCTGGAAGAGCGTTTGCGGTTATTTTGTTACTGCGCAGCATATAACTATTGTAAAAAAATTCCAAAATATGTTTTTTTGGCAACTTGATTTCTTTTTTATTTTTTAATTTAGTTTTAATTTAATTCCAAAAAAATAATCCCATACGTTTTTGTCGGTTATAAAGTATTATCAGACCTGTCAAAAATATTTTTTTAAATTTCCAAAAAATATACTTTTGGCAATCTCAAATTTTAATACAATTATATTTTTTCACAATTTCAACTTGCCAAAAGGACCTACCCAAAATTCGTCGCCAGCTCTCAGACTATGAGGGTAGAACTTACTGACAAAGAAAGACACATAATTTTATAAAAAATAATGTTGCTTTGCAATAATATAGTGATCGTTTTATCGACTTACTGCATGTCTCACAAAGTCATCAGTCTATCTGGGGTCGTCCTACTCTCTATCGGTTGTCGGTTCTTCGAGCTATATGGCCGGCTCATTGGCACTTAATTTAACTTACTAATGCGTTTAGTTATGTCGATTACTCTAGTTCTACTGCGGATATCCTCATTTTTAAGTTTATAACGCATAAAAACCCCGAGCATACCCCTCTCGCGACATTTGAACTTGTTTCTAAAATTGGCGCGTTGGGCAAAACGGATATTCTACTCCCGTGAAAGTTGAGCAAGCGTCAACATTTGAGAAGGCAAGGATTTCTAAGTTGGCAGGCGTCAGAAAAACTAAAACTAAAAGATCCTTAGTAAAATAATGGGTGTATGGTTGTGTGTGCGCGAGCGCGCGCGCGTGTGTGTGTGCGTGTGTGTGTGTTGTCTGTGTGTATGTGTATGTGTGTATATATGTGTATGTGTATGTGTGTATGTGTATGTGTGTATGTGTATGTGTATGTGTGTATATGTGTGTGTGTGTGTGTGTGTGTGTGTGTGTGTGTGTGTGTGTGTGTGTGCGCGTACCGGCAGGTAGCGCAGGCGCAAGGGGGGCGCAGCGGCGTGCGCGCTGGCGGCGGGCGGCGCTGGTGTGTGTGTATGTATGTGTGTATGTGTGTGTGTCAGGGCTCGGAAACCGGTTGAAATTCTAAACCGGTTTCGGTCATTGACCCCAAAACCGGTTTTAGCGGAATACCGGTTTTCACAAATTTCGGTTTAGGTAGTAAGAATTAACCGGTTAAAGCCAAGTTTTGTAATGTCCCCCTCTCCCTTACCCCGCTTGCACCCATCTTTGTACGGCTGCCTCTGATTAATTCCCGAGGTTTTTAGACACATGCACGATCTATTCATTGCATCAACGCGACTTGTGACGTACTCCCTCATATTTTTTCATCTTTCAGCAACGTTCGTATTATAAATAACAGATGTAAGTTCTGTTTCAATTAATTATGCGTTATCTTCACTTTAAAATTAAGTTTCGATATCAAGTTTAATTTGACGTTATTTAAATTGACTTTAACTATATTTAACGTTTTCTATTAAAATTACGCTATGCATCTTTATTTCAATGTCATTAGTTTTAGTAATATATCGCAATAAATAATGAACTTTCTTAACAGAACTCAATATTTTTAAAAGTTTATGAAATTATATGTTATAGTATTTTTGTTCTTTTTAGGACTAAAGTGAGGCAGATTACCAGATTTTTTTTTAAATTCAGAAGCTCCTAATTACGACCAACCTCTATCTCCGTCTTTGCAAAATTAATAATGACCACTTCTGAGGTGTAAAGTTTAACTAGAAGTCATGTCTAAACACGATAAAAATTATTTGTTATATTCAGAGAATTCTAACAAAAGAAATTACCATTTTTCACATCTCATTAATGAGGAATTGGAGCAAATGCTATCATGTTGTGCGTACAAGATGCTAATAAAAATATTAGCTTTTCTAAATAGAGTGCAAGGTAATCACATAGACGAAATTAAATTAACTGATACTGAAATTAATAAAGAAAAATAATTTGAATCTAACGAATCAATTTGATTAAATTCGGCTATACTTTGCTGTCGACTGTAAACAAATACATACACTAAAAAATCCTGTCTTTCATTTAAAGTAATTATTAATAACTCCCAATTAACTAGATCATCAGTATAAATCACACTGATATCTACGATCATGTACTGAATTATAAAAGAGAATTATTAAAAGTGCAGCCAAATTTTCTGACGCCTCAAGATCAAAATAATAACGTCAATTTGGGTAACTTTGAACATTTTTTACAGTATTTGTGATATTACAATCTGATTTATATTTATACACGTTTGTTTTATTGAAAAAATAGTGTTCTTCTGAGTTGGTTTATTACTTCAACACAATAAATTTACGGAGAAAACAACAGAACTATCTAGAAATTCCTCTAAAAGTCAAATTCAAAGTTACCACGAGTTTTGGGTAACTTTGAATCTAAATTTTTTAGGGTATAAAAACTTATATTAAAACACTTATTATATTGGCCTCATCGATTTGACATATGTCAGCTTTAGAGGGCCAAGACCAACCTCCTAAAAAGTTTTTTTGGAGCACAGAGACTTGTAAGGGTCTAAGTTTTTGTATCCTTCCTGGGAACAAACTACCCTCTTCTCTAAAGACACAATATACCCTGTACCCTCTTTTAATTTCGGGACTTTAACGTCTCCCTTGCCTGTACACTTCTCAGTCGTCACGCCCTTTAATTCACCACTTTTCTCATCTACTATATATTCTTCTATAATGTCTTCATCTATTAAAATCACTTCACTTCCTATGTCTAAGTCAGGGCTTTCTTCCTGGATCATATCTTCTGCCATGACTTGATTTTCAAAAGCGTTGCTTAAGTCACCAGCAGATGTCTTGGAAAGTTTAGGAGGTTGGTGATCTAAAGCTTCTACTATTATTACTTTTCTTTCAATTTTTTCAGACTTATTATCACTATTTTTTTCAGTGATTGTATCTTCTGCTTCTCCATTTTTAATCTGGTCCCTGTCAAAATCTTTATTTTTTTCTTCTTCTGTATCATTATTAATCTTCTTTTTCTTTTTGTTCTTAGAACCCAGGGGTCGTCCTTTTTTCTTGGTTTGCGCGTCGCTTTCAGCTCCCTTTAGTCCTATACTTTTGTTTGTATTGTCTCTTTCTTCATAATATTTTTTGACCTCCTCAGCCGAAACGCTTTTCCCAGCCGTAACAGGTAATTGAAATTTTCTTCCTTTCTTCACATGCAAATCTCCTTGCCTTATTTCTTCTATGTAGTTTATGAAACTTGTACCAATAGAATCGCAAACATCTGCCTGAGACGTGTACCTTGGTAATTTGTTCAAAACGGTAGAAGGTGAAAATGGTTGCAAGCCATAGCTCTGAAATCCGGCTTTCACATTATCAGATGACGTACCTTCAATATTATTTAGAGACTTTGAGCAGCTGGGCAAAGAGAGGCTTTGGCAGTGCTTGTACTTTTTTTCCTTTATTAGTCTGTCGATAATCATTGAGAACTTTCCTCCATGAAGTTTTTAAGCCAGAAAAATAACCCACATCTAGTGGTTGCAACAGGTGGGTTGAATTTGGTAGTAAGCAAATAAACGTAATGTTATGTTCACTGCAAAGACGTAATGCTTTTGGTGATATATGGGCGCTGAGATTATCGCACAACAATACCTTCTTGCCATTTTGCTTATCAACGTGTGGAATAAAATGTCTTTCCAACCACTCCTCAAAGATTGAAGAATCTATCCATCCAGATTCAGACACAGCCATTCTGGAACCTGAAGGAGCTTGAAAAAGCCAATCTGACCACAGTCTCTTGCCTTTAAATATAAAAAAGGAGGCAAAACTTCGCCACCAGCATTTGCACAAAAGACCACAGTGTAACACGATTTACTGGTATTTTTTATAACTTCGGGATGTCGAGAATCTCTACGGAAAAGCAACTTTTTCTTTCCACGGTCGTCATGAAAACCTGACTCATCCATGTTATATATATTTTCTGGTGGGACTCCTTCTATTTCCGTTTTAATATGTTCAAAGAATTCCTCGACCATTTCTCGTGTGACTTGAGCCCTCATTCGGGATATGTTATAAGCTATTTTTGTTTTTAATTCTGGGTTTCTTTCTAAGAACAATACACCCCATTCATAACCTGGAAGGTTGTTTTTAAATTGTGGCTTTGTCATATTGTTGCTAAGTAGTTTTTTACTACAAATCTGAAGTCCATCATACTAATAGGTATGCCGAGATCGCTTAGCAGCAACAAATGAGCCTTGAAGCTAGTTTCTTCGTCTTTACTAAAAGTAACAGGTTTACCAACTGGTTTTATGTGTTTACTTTTTAATTTGTAAAAAAGGGTTACCGCGGGTATTTTGTAAAACTTTGAAGCAGCGAGTCTAGACATGGCACCTGAACGAATTTTACTGAGGGCTTCTTCGAGCGTTTCAGAGGTATAATTACTTTTTAGTCCATATCTCCTAACCCCGGGGTTCACTTTTTGAGTTTTTCGGGGCATATTTTAGCTGTAAAAGGCGAAAATTTTAATCGTAATCGAGCAACATTATGTATGTACTTATTCAAAGTTATCCAAACAATATTTTTTATAATACGGGTAACTTTGAACCGTTCAATGTTACCCAAATTACTTCGATTTTGATCGTCTTCAAAACTTCATCAGTTCTACATAATATTTAACATCAAAATCGAGTAATGAATTGAAAAAAATAAAATATAAACTACATTTTAAAGATAAACACCAAAACATACCTGTGTAAAATAAGTTTAGTATATTTAATTACTATTTCAAATCAGAGCAAAAAACACTTCCAATAACTTCACTACGGAAAAGGCGGGTAATTTTCAAAATTATGTATTTGACAGTTTATTTTTTTACTCTTCGTTTGCTACAAAACATTTTGGCGATCCATTTTACGCAGTTACGATATTGTAACAACAAAAAGTTTCCTTATTATTTATTTGTTTTGTTTGTTTTTTTTTTTTTGTTTTTTTTTTTTTTAAATTTATTATATATTATAAATTATTAAATCTTTTTCACAACTTTGTTCAAAGTTAAACCGCTATTCAAAGTTACCCAAAATGACTGTATAGTAATTACTTTCGAATTTTTTACAAACTTTCATACTTTACGAATACGAAACTATTCAAATAAATAAAATTGAAGTGTCTGTTCGTAACGTCAAAATAACAGATTTTTACTAAATACATATCATGAAAGTATATAATTTTGTCTGTCTGTGGTTACTAGCGCGACTGTGAATTATGATTTGGTCCTGGGCTTAAATCGTGTCCCAGGTCGTGCCAAGTACCGTTACTGGATTAATTTGGGTATAATGAGTGTTCTAGAAACCACCGTGATAGTCGTATTGAGCCCTAAATCAAGCACTTAGATTTTTGGGTTTTCTCGTTGCCCCCAAACGAGCATGCGGGTCACGTGATGGTAAGTGACTACTGCTACCCATGAACAACCGCAACACCAGGGGAATTGCAGGTGCATTGCCAGCCTTTAAGAAAGGAGTGAGCTCTTTTCTTGAAGGTCCCTAAGTCGTATCGGCCCGGGAAAATCGCCGATGGTTAACAATTCCACAGAGAAGTTGTGCGAGGAAGAAAACTCCTAGTAAAACGCATAGTGGTGGCCGGTCAAACATCCAGATGGTGCGGTCACGATATCGTGAATTTTGACTGGAATTAAACCGAACAATTCCTCAGAGCACTCTCCGTGGTAAATTCGATAGAAAATGCACAGAGATGCAACATCCCTACGCAGTGCCAGTCAATCGAGCCGATCAGAAAGAATTCGGACGTCGACGACTCGAACCGCTATGCGCTGGATGCGGTCAAGTGGAAGGAGCTGACACTGGCGTGCCCCGTCACAGAGATGCGAGGCCTAATTTGCGCTTTGTAAAGTTGCAAGCGATGTGCCGACATGAAATACTGCCTCGCTCTGCTGAGCACGCCAAGCTTTTTATAGGCCAATTTGGCATTCCCTTCCAAGTGACCCCAAAACTGCACACTATTCGATATGTCGACGCCGAGGATGCCGATGTTAGTTGAAGCAGTGAGGGAGTGCTTTAACACTGAGGAGATACGACACAAGGGTTCTTTTTAGCGGTATACGTGCAAATTTGTGTCTTCTGGGGATTGAACTGGACTAGATTTAGCCGCCCTTAATCCGAGACTTTGTTCAGCAAAGAATTGACATCAGCCACAAGTTTGTTACGGTAGCGCCGTGGTAGCTCAGATGGTTAGCGCTCGCTGTAAGTCTCACAGTACGTGAGAAACTCGGGTTCGATCCCCGCCGGCTCCAATGAAATTATTAATTGAAATTTTAAGTGCCGATTTACCACGGGCTCGGCGGTGAAGGAAAACATCGTTAAGAAACCAGCATGTCTGAGAAATAAAAAAAATATATCTCGAAGACATATGAAGTTCGCCAACAAGCATTGGGGCAGCGCGGCGGACATTTACTTGCCCTAAAACCCTCTCAGAAATAAGAGGAGGCTTGTGCCCAGCCGTGGGACGTATAAAGGCTGCAACTTTACTTTACTTTACTTTTGTTCCGGTACACGGAGACGTTTCCCGAGAAATATTGGCACGGCCGGTGTATATTGCATCACCAGTGCTGTCGTTGTTACCAGTTTGCAAAATATCATTGATATGCAGTAAAAACAGCGTTGGTGATAGCACGCAGCCTTATGGAACACCAGCGTTAACAGGCTTGTAATCAGAGCATGCACCGCCTACTACGACCTTGATGCTCCGATCAGCAAGAAAACTCGTGATCCAATTGCACAATTTCTCGGGAAGCCTTTAGGAAGGGAGCTTCGAAAGAAGCGCTTTGTGCCAAACCCGATCGAAGGCCTACGCAATGTCCAAACTAATGGCCAATGCCTACCTCTTGGACTCTACTGCCTCCGCCCATATATGAGTTAGATAGACCGGAAGATCAACTGATCAACCCCGACGAAAACTGTTTATAATAGATTCCATTATTTTGGAGAACAAGGAGGTGATGGCGATAGGCCTGTAGTTTGAAGGGTCTGAGCGGTCGCCTTTTTTAGGGATCGGGTGACCCAAAGCTGTCTTCCATGAATTTGGGATAACGCCTTAGGAGTAGAAGTACCGGAAAAGACGCGTTAAAACAGGTTCCAACTTCGGAGCATACGTCTTCCGCACAATGGAAGGGAACCGAGCGCTGTATAAGCCGCACATCTGGCATGGAGCACTCAAACCGCGGGATGGTCGGCGGTGTATTCTTCCGTTATCGAGAGTCGAGTTGGACGCAAAAAGAGAGATTAACAAATCGGCTTTCTCCTTTGTGGCATGGACTCAGTGAGTCACCCTCTCTTTACAGAGATGGCTGACAGAAGTTCCCTTGGACAGCCTTAGCAAGAGACCAGAATGCACGGGTTACCGAAGGAAAGCGAACTAGCCTCTCACCAACTTCGCTGATGTGCTTTGACCTTGCCTTGGCAATGAATTTTGAAGAACCTGGAGGCGGAATCATACTTCTTTTGAAGAGCGCTGGTGTTTACATCTCGATACATCAACGTCTCGGAATGTAAAGATGTCGTCAGCCCAGTGCTGGTAGCAGGTACATGAGCAACCAAACTATGTCTGGAATCTGCCTCCGATGGGCACCACAGAAGATGGAATTAAAATTTCCATATCCTCAAGTACCATATCAGCAACAGAATCAGCAAAATTGCTGTGATTGTCCACCGAGAAGCAAATTCGCCCTCAAGGGTAGAATGCAATAAAAAGACCGCATCCTGCATCCTTTCCCAATCGGCCAATCTATAGTGCTAAACACGGCGGCTGCCTGCAGGATGCAACCGCGAAGATAGTGTGAGTGACACCACCCTCCGGATAAGACAATGGCCCTAGGAGCCATGAGGGGTGTCGACGGAAACCTGATATCCGTCCGGATAAGAGGTCAGCAGAAGTTCCAACAGGAAAGGCGCATGATCCTCCACATCTGGAATTCACGTAGGCAAAGTAACCAGCTGTGCAAGCCCCTCCCCTTCCCCCATATACCAGAATACGCGGAGCAGCTTGAGCACACATGCTCAGGAACAGTAGGGTAGCTTGGGCGTGGGTGCTCAGCGAAGGATTCTCCGTCACCAGGATTCTGGTACCCTGGTGGTAAGTTTTTTATTTGATTCTGCTACCTTAGGGGGGGGGGGGAGGGAATTGGGCCTCCGACCACCTACACCTACCAAGCGAAACGCAGAAGTAAACTTCTACTTCACGCTTGTATTCTGTGAGGTCGTGGTACTACCCTGGTTCGAGCTGGCCCATCCATGCGATAGCAAAAGCTGCCGCGTGGCTCTATCACTGTTAAAACGTAAACATGGAATAAATTCTATTTACTTTTTTTCTGCCCATCATAAATAAACAACCGATATACAAGAATAAATTATTTTCTTCATTATGAGACAAGTCCAGTTTTAACGAATAAATCGAACACAATAACTGCCTTTCTTTCTTCAAAACTTCTCTAATACTTTCACGTTTTTCGTAAACGCCAAACTCCCACTATACACCCTGATCGCGACTAAAACAATGTAAAGGCAGATAATTGATAAGTGTGCCCGCATGCGGCGATGCCGCATAAGCACCTCGCAACGTGAATCTACCTGTCCTATTCATAACTGCCTTTACGTTTTACGGAATTAACCGGTTAATTTGGGTGTCGAAACCGTTAAGTAACCGGTAACCTTTATCGTTTAGGTTTAATAAAAACCGGTTAATTTTTTAACCGGTAATTGAAGGAGCGATAAATTTACCGGTAATTAATCGAAATTAACCGCTCTTTTTAAACCGGTTCCGAGCCCTGGTGTGTGTGTATGCGTGTGTGTGTATGTGTGTGTGTATGTGTGTGTGTATGTGTGTGTGTGTGTGTGTGTGTGTGTGTGTGTGTGTGTGTGCGTACCGGCAGGTAGCGCAGGCGCAAGGGGAGCGCAGCGGCGTGCGCGCTGGCGGCGGGCGGCGCTGGTGTGTGTGTATGTGTGTGTGTGTGTGTGTGCGTACCGGCAGGTAGCGCAGGCGCAAGGGGGGCGCGGCGGCGTGCGCGCTGGCGGCGGCCGGCGCGGGCGCCAGCGCGCCGCGCCACACGCACCCGCACAGCCGCAGCCCCACCACCGAAACGCACGGGCTCGAACTCTCGCCGCCCTCCGCACTCCAATCATCTGCGACACGACAATGCATTCCTATTGCTTAACATATGTTTTTTTTTTATTTATTTAGGATTGTTTTGTCTGTACACGTGATAATCTCATCGTAACAAACAAAAATAAGAACTATAAAAATTCTTAGGAAGGTTTACCCGATTGCCCCAAAAAAGGGTAATGTTTTTGAAGTGTGTACAGGATTATTCTTCAGAGTAGCTAAATTTTATATGTAAGTTCGTATATAAATTGTTACGGCCTACGGCTGCTCCCTTAAGGTGACACTAGTCGACATTATTTCCATAGAAATTTCGGAGGGGTTTGACTCCGCTGTTTGACAGTGTACATCCAAAATTAAACATGATATCGTTTTGTCTCATTATTAAATTTGTCTGTACGGAAACAGATTAGTAAAATAAAATGTTATTAAAAAGTTACGAGCTACCAAAGATTCGTTTTTATTGCCAATTTTAACACAACTTTGGGCGAAAATTAGTAATAAAAGAAGTGAAAAATTTCCAAAACAAAGTCGGTACCGACACAACTCAATTATCGAAGAACTCAATAAATTTTATTTATAATTGATTAATGCAGTGGTTTTTTCATAAAACCCCTTCTTCCAAAGGCCTTTTCGTATTTTTCTACGCGCGCATGTTACTATGAATACGCCAGAACGGCTGAAGGGATCTGGATGATATTTTGCTCAGAGATAGGCTATAGTCTGGAATTTTTTTTTCAAAAAAACGTTACCCCACACTAGGATTTTCTCCTGTATCGTGGAGGCAGTTTACAAACATCCAGACCCGGAACAATTATTTGTAGACCATACAAATACTTGTTCGATTGATTCGAACCCGCGGCTCCCAGTACAACAATTCATTGCTAAGCCACTGCGCCACGGAGCTGCCAAATATCATATATGATACCGTTTATTCAGGTATTTCGTTGCCGTGGGATAATTATAGAGTTACACACGTTCGAAGCCGAACTCTTGAGTGATTGCTGCATGACCACTCGGGGAAAACTAAACATAATAAAATAAGCAATCTATATTAGGTATATAGAGCCACAGAGGTATACCTAATAATTTCGCGGTTTCACCCGCGTTATCACGTGTCCGAGATGCGTGGCATGACATGACACCTAGTTCAAGCATTTTATAATTGCAATCAAATATTTTATTTGATTGTAATGTATGGAAAAATTGTCATGATTAATGGAGTACTTTTATTTTATCTGTTGGCATATTATGCGCGGTTTTTTCCAGTTTTAAAGAAAAACGTACACGATACATGAAAAGTGTGTAGGCAAGAAATGATTCTTGATAAATTTGCTATCAACCTCTTATACTTATTAATCAATTAAATTTAAACTTTCAAAATACCATAGCAACGTGAAATGAAAGAGTTCAGAAATAAAGATGTAACTAATCATTGCTACGCTCACCCGGGAGATAGATAAAAGTACTCAATTAATTTTGAATTTATTTTAGCTACTAGCTGTACCCCGCGACTTCGTCCGCGTTTAGTTTAGGGCGTTAATTTTGTTGTAAAGACACCTAATAATTTTTCTAAAATTTAAGCAGGCTAAGTTACTTCTTGTAACATGAGCTATCTACTAGTGAAAGTCCCGTCAAAGTCGGTCCAGCCGTTTTGGAAATTAACCGCAACAAACAGACTGACAGACATACAAAAATGTTAAAAATTGTGTTAATGTTATAAGTACCGTATACAGTTTCATACGCAATTAGTAAAAAGCTGTTATTTTGACATTACAAACAGACACTTCAATTTTATTTATTTGTGTAGATATAGATAACGATTGAACTAACGACTAACCTAACCTCGCTCATAGAAGCTTTCAATACTGGCTTCTCAGTTCGCACCGGGCTAGGGGTTATGCGTTGTTTGCGCGTCAAGCCAAGTAGGTATTGAATTATTTTAATTTTACATTATCTCTTAAACTATGTACTATATAAACATGGTATAAAGAACGAAGTTTATCTTCATAAAATTGTCTTGATAATGAAGTAACTTTGGTTCGTAAGGTGCCTAATAATTAAATTTTCATTTTTTTGTCACAAAATGCCTAATTGTGGCTTATATATAAGAAATAGACATATGTTATCGCGGACTTTTTTTTAGACGGAGTAAAGATCTATATTTTTCTAGAACATTGTATTTACGTATCCCGAACCATAACAGCGCTTTTTCTTCTCACTTCCTTAACAAATATAGGCTAGCTGAGATATATAGCCTAATGCTGTATAGCCTATATTATTCAACATGAATCTGGCTATAATATCCAAAAAAAGTTTTTTCAAATCTGACTGGTAGTTCCAGAGATTAGCACGTTTAAACAAACAAAAACCCTCTTCTGCTTTATTATATTAGTATAGATGTTGCATCGTGTTCGTGTAACTTCGTTTTCATTCTAACGGTTCGGAACACCGTACGAACAAGACATGCGTGAATACTAGTGTCGATATGCTCATAACTGATACTATCTCTGTCGGGCACGATGCCAGGTGAGACAGCGTGCTTTTTGGCCGCGCCCACCAGCGAGTTCGAGCCCGCGACTTGTGCCACCTTAAAGGGTCAAATCCTCAGGAGCCCATGAGCTGCAGACTTCCCGAGCAGACGTAGGTCGGGCCTCAATGTGGCCACGTGGAATCTCTCTAATTACACTAAAATATATGGGGGAGCGTTCTATAATACGGCCAGTCGACCGGGAGGAATTTGGACGTAGCTTACTTACCTATATCCAAGGCGACTGGTCCCTCCGGAGTCGGTCAGGTCGCACGTGGTGGTGTAGTGCAAGGAAAACAAAGTGATGTGATGTGTATCTGGGTGTGACTGATGGTGATTGAACCTAGACCTTGGCCGTCGGCAGCAGCCCGAGCGTCGACATCGCTCCAACTTGAGGGGGCCTTCCGAGGTTGTCCACCGTCACTTTCCTCGTTCGTCACGATGACAGTCAATTAACTCTATCGTGCGATTAACTAACTTACAGAAGCCACTAACTATCGCGGGGTATAAGGTTACCGCACAAAACGCACACGGAGTTTCTGGATCAAAGGTCGCTACCGTTTCGCGTTGCAACAATTAGTTCTAGAATATCAGAGGCCGCACTAGCTAATATTGCCGAATGCACTTATGCAGATTCTGAGTCAGACACAATGTGTCCCGGGGAAGCTCTCCAGTAGGGATGCGCGCCACAAATCCTAGACCGTATTTTTACTGTCCGCGCTTAATTATTCCGAGTTCCCGACAAGAATGACAGCGTGCCCATCGTTAGCACTGCTTAAAGATGACTGCCTGCCCTTGTGCGTTTTTCGCACGACCGAAAGTCAAACCGGTATGAATGCACCGCGCCGAGCGCCCTCTCGCGTCAATCCTTGAAACTATAAATTATTATCTGAAATTATCCCAAATTGAATGCGATTTATTGACAACAACAACGGGTAGGCTCGCCCCTCTGAGTGCGATTCAATTCACGTTTTCGTTCTCAAGTTTTTCCCTATTGTTTACTTTAAATAATTAGATATTTATGAATGACAATTTAAAGATAAAAAGGACAGAATGTTTGCGAATTTTTCAATTAATTTTTCTTCAACATTGGCCTATATTACTTATTCTGAACCTTCTCGGCAAAATTGGCCGTATTTTGCAAAATAACCCTGTATAATATGAATGCATATCTATTTCGTTGGCACGCTGTAAGCAGGGCTCAGGGTCACTCGCTCAAGGTCTCGCGTTATTATTTACCTACAAGTATCGGTGGGGTGTCGCACGCTATAAAGATGGCTAATTTAATTTTTAACCATTAAAATAAACAATTAAAAATAAATAACAAATTTTAATAAATAAATAAAATTAACTATTATGCATAAAATTATCATAATATCTGATCCATTTTAATAAATGATATTATGATATTAAGTGTTAATATAATTTTTACACATACAGATACAATATTATATTTTTAACTTATAGGAGTCACGCCATTTAATCTGTGACACTTCGAAACTAAAAATTTAAATTTAAGTCCCCCCAAAGAGGGGCGAAAACACAAGAAAAATAAGGAAAACTAAAATAATATAGTGTAGTGTATAGGTATGTGTTAATTAACATAATACAGTACAAACGTAATAAATTTCGGACCGAAACAATCGCAAACTAACTAATAATTTCGTGAATAAAATGCTTAAAATTTTTAAGCAATTAACTACGCGCGACCTTGAATCACTTCCAATAAGTACAAGTATCAGCGGGGTTAAGATTAATAGCAGATAATTTAAAGAAGGAAAATGAAGCTATTTATTATTTTATAAAACTCAAATATATTTGATTATCAAACAAATAAAATAATTATTTCATTATTTCTATCTATCATCTTTGTACAACCCTTATGCGCCCGCTCGATGATACGATGGTCGCGCGATGGGCAAAGCGACCTCAAGTCCCGGTACGCGTGCAGAAGGTATATTTCCGCTTGCAACTAACGTCTGGAATTATTATTAAAAATTTGTATTATAGCGTAGGTATTTTTGCTTTTGTATGGGAGTGATGTATCTGTTACATAGTAACATTATTTAATCTGTGCTCTTAGTAACCCAAACGGCTTGATAGACTTTAACATAATATACGGTATCGTTCGATGTGTCTTATTTGAGGAAGTGACATAAGGTATAACGTTTATCTTTTTTTAGTAACATTTTGCCAGCATTTCAGCAAACTCCCTACCAGCATTTATTCAAAATTTCATACATGCGAACCAATTTTCGAAACAATATTTCTCTCCAACACCTCTTCTTCGGCTTATTGTAATGCTGGTAGCGTATTTTCCAGCAATGAAAACTGTATATCCTTCAGCTGATTTTTCTACTAATAAAAAACTAGATACACAACCAGTGACAAAAATGTCCTTACCGAATGAGCATTTGGGTGCGCTTTTAATTTGTACGTAGCTTTGTGAATACAACTTTCGGCAATGCATTTGTTGAATTTATATTAATGTATATTTATTTCAACTAGAATAACATTAAAACAATTGGCGACGGTTATTAGAAAACTTTTGCATGGGATCGTGTATACAGTTTTTTATTAGTGATTGATGATTTCAAGGAATTAAAAGAGGTCACACAGAGTCAAAGTAGAACTTTAAGGAGAGAGACTCAATAAGTTAACCGATGCGCTGACCATGAAGTCTCTCGTTTTGAGTGTTGAGTGCGTGGGGCGGAAACACAAATGATCAAAATCTTCCTTGCGCTTCTCGATTACTTCAATTTGGCAGACGTTGGTTAATTTTGAAACTGACTCTTCATTTCTGGATTGTATTAATACTAACTTGTTAAGAAGGAATTACTCGATTGTACTAGAAGCAAAATCAAAGGGGTCGTGCATAAATGCGAAAGCGAGATCGTCGACAAGTTTTCGTTTGATCGCTCTGTTGCTAAGCAAGTAAGCAAAAAAGAGCGTTACCGTGCTCCGCACTCAACCTACTTTTGCGTTCTGTACAGTGTTTTGATGTTGTTTACCAAGGCACCAAGATCATGCGAGTAATTAACAAAAACAGCGGACGCGATCAGGCACATGTTGGATCCGATCACAAGGTCATGCGTGGTCTTAGAAAAATCCAAGTGGTAGTAAGGTTAGTAGTGTTGGTACGCGCAGGTGTGTAGTTACCGGCGTCGTCCCAGGAGGCGGCGAGCGCGAGCTGGTCGGCGCGGCGCGCGGCGCGCTCAGCGGCCAGCGCGCGCAGCGCACACACGGCGCGCGCCGGCCGCACCAGCAGCCGCAGGTCCAGCACTGCGCGCACGCCCATGGGAGGGGGAGGGGATCAGTGTTAATACATCAATCAATTGCTAACCTTATATTTACCGAAAAACCTCATTTGGTTATTTTATGTGGTAGAGCCATGCTGAAGCTATATTATGACTGTAACACGAGTAGGTCGCCTCGATCGGGGAAGGACCACACTCGCACAGAATAACAGCGTTAAAATAGCAACTCAACGCTGCGGTGTTTTGTATAGTAAGTATAGAGATCCGGAGACCCTTTTTACTCGAAACGAGGCATTCCATTTTAGTCCTCAAAGGTAGCAACACATTTGCATCTACTTCTTAATCAAGGATAGATGTAAATGTTTATAGGACATAGCATCCACTTACCATCACGTGAATTGTGTGCTCAACATATATTTGACTATTACCAAAATTCTTATCCTTAATTATGCATTAGATAATATTCATTAGATAGTAACGGACACTTCTGACTTGTGAAATCAAAATAAAAAGGACTTTTTCGATTTTGAACTTTGTACCTATTTTTTAATACTATTGTGCTTCGTGTATGGCCTCCTGTGATTTGGCCAATCGCACAATACCTTCATTCACATATTTCAAAAGTTGTCATAAACTCAAATATATTATGAAAACGTTTATATTTTAAAATATATCTCAGATTAATATATGCCACAAGCAACTGGGGTACAGTGAAATCATCTATTTTCATTAAAAATAACAATACTTTTGTCATCTCATTGGCAAATCAGCATTGTGCCACGCAAAAAAAAAGTAAAAAACGTTGACAGATGACAACAAGTCAAAATAGATAGACGTCAGACGTGCTATTGTTTTGGTTTCGTTTGAAAAAATACATTTCTGTAAATGTTTTAGGAATCTAAGTGCACTCTGTAGTTGCTTTGTATGCGATAAGTTTATATAAATTACGAACAACGGCTTGAACAACGGATACGATGTTTCATAAACATAAAACATAACCTCAAAATCTCTATGATAACTGCAAATATCTAAGTTTTCAGAAGTGTCCGTCAGGAGTTATTGTTCTTACATACAATTATGTGTAATTTCGGACTTAAAAAGGTATTTTGTTTCACTGTTGGTTCTTAGGCGAACATTGTATGGACGCAAAACATTGTCCTTTCCACGACCATTGGCATAATGTTCGTTAGTCAAAATATTAAAAGTTCTTATTTACACAATTCTTCACAAAATAATGATGCATCACAATGGGAGATTTCACCATCAAATTACTTGTATCATCATTTCCACTTAAAGTTCTAAATTCGCTTCAAGACATTATTTAAATAACAATACAGGAGCAACAGTTTTTTCTATCTTAGTTCTCACGGTTGACAACCCATCTACATTTTAATTCGCAAACGTCTATGGGCCATATCAACCACTACTTACCATCAGGTGGACTATGTGCTAGTTTTTCACCCTTATTCTATAAAAAAAAATTATACATAATATGTATTTTACTTCTTTCATATCAGATTACAAAATTAAAAGTTTTTAAAAATAAAGGTAAACTTAAACTTTATTTCTCTCAAGATACCAGACCAAAAAGTTGTAAGTTGGAACGCCTGCTAAGAGTTTAATTGTCTACAGCTGAATATAGATATGCCGTCAGATTAGCTACTAACAGTACCAGATATTTTTCAACTTTATCATATGGAAGATCGACACATTTTTCCGACGTACATATTTCGAAGATTTAGCTATTGATAATCCCCGAAACTATTTTCTGATCACGCTGACAATACCCATATTATGAAAAAATTAGCGTAGACACTACGTGGTAGAGCCATGCTGCAGCTATATTATGGTTGTAGCACGAATGGGTCGGCTAGACCAGGGAAGGACCACGCTCTCGCAGAAAACCAGCGTAAAATAGCAGCTTAACACTGCTGTGTTTCGTATGGTGAGTGTAGAGAACCGGAGACCCTTTTTACTGGCAAAGAGGCATTCCACCTTAGTCCTCACGGGTGAAAACGCATCTGCATCTTGAGTCTCGTTTGTCACCCGATCCTATAAAAAAAGACACGGGAAAATAACAAAATCGGTTTTTATGTAAATATGGATTCCTAATTGAAATCGTAGCGGGTACTCGAGGTGGTGTAGCCAGGTCCAGTGGGTCGGCATAACTTATATAAATAGAGGGAATGCGACGGCAGCGGGTTACCGGCAGGCAGTGCGTCGTCGCGCAGTGCGTTGCGGCGCTGCAGCGCGGCGTGCGCGCGCGCGCTGAGCTCGGCCACGTAGGCGCGCGGCGCGCTCGGCCCCGCCCACTGCAGCTGCCACTCCTCCTCCACCTGCAGCGTGCCACCTTCACAGCTTCACGCTCACAACATCGAACCACTCACGGCGAACGCCTTCTTTCAATTTTTAAATAGTAATAAAGAAAGTGGGAAGGTACTCGCGTTGTTTCAATGTCAATACATGACGTTATATATTTTATACTTCAAGCACATAACATATTGTGCTGAGGTATATAATAAAATATCAGTAACATTGCACTGCAAAATAAATAAACCAATTTTTGTACGAGCGCGGGTCAAAAAGTTCGAGGAATGGAGGGGTTAGAGAGGGAAAATAAGATTTTTTTTAACTGACACTACTTGGTGACTCATGGCTCAATACAACTATTAATAAAGTTTCAGCCAGATCGGTCTATTAACCTTTCACATATGAGTGAAAATTAAGTTTCGTGCCGTGATTAAATTCCTTACTAAGCAAGGAAAAATGCATACACATATCATTATGAAAGAGATGTCATCTGTTTACGGGGCCTCTTGTCCAAGACAAACGATGATTTGTAAGTGGCATAGCCTTTTCAAACAAGGCAGATACTCAATTGAAGACGATCAGACTGATTTAGGCAACTTCCTCAGACGCTATCGAAAAAGTTGAAAAACTTGTTTTAAAGATGCTCGTCTGAAGAAAAAACAGATTTCAGAAATGACTTTTCTAGTCTTTTATCATCTATGATTGTTTTAAACATTCTCCTTAAGCCAAGAATGCTTACACCGCTTTAGAAACAGCGGCAAGTAATGTTCACGCGAGATTTTGAACCTATGTACAAAAAACAGGAACAAAATTTTTAATATAAAATAATAAAAAATTATGAACCGAATTGTGACTGGGGATGAAACTTAGGTTTATCACTATAAACCTGAGTTAAAGCAAGATTCCGTGCAATGCTGTGGCATAAAAAAAGGAGCACCACCTAAGAAGCTCAAGGTGTCACAATCGGCTGGAAAGATTATGATTTCAGTTTTTTGGATTCAGAGTGAATTTCTTTAATCCATTATAAAGATAAATGTGTCTATATTGCGGGACAGTATCACGTTACGCTATTAGAATAATTAAAAGATGCGATTAAAGAAAAAAGAAGGGGAAAGTGGTTTCGAGATGTGCTCCTTTTGCACGACAACGCACCCGTTCATAAGAGTCATGTTGCAATGGCTTCCTTACACAATACTTAAGTGCGGATTCGAAAGTTTAAAACACCCTCCCTATAGACCGGATTTGGCACCTTCGGTCTCCAAATGTACCCCACATTCGGAGACCGAACCGACCAACTCGGCAACTTATTTGTCTATAATCACATAAAATTTCTTTACTCGGAATTTATCAACCGGGCTTAAGCTACTAGCTTGTGATTCCTTGTCGGTTAGCATTCTTGTGACCTTTCGTTTGTTTGCATCAGAATATTCTTGATCCACAAAATTACTTAGTTGTTTGGCTTGATTTTCAATGTCAGAAAATGTATCTCTCAAATCTGCCACAAAATCCACTAATGAAAGTAGCATGTTATTTGCAGAAATTAAATCTGTATCAACTTTTTGAAGGTATTGACTAGTCGCGTTAAAGCGGCTTAAAACATTATTCCATTGAATCGCCATAAAAACATTTTCAAGTTTTTTTATATGTTTCAAAAAAGCTTCAGCTTCTTTCCGAGTTTCGCGGTTTTGTTCTTAGTCATTCGCTAAAATTTCTAGAGCCCTACAAATACCTCCATGACTCTTTACTACAACTTTTGTGGCGTCTCCGCGACATGACCATCTCGTTTTCGATAAGCTCGTTATTTTAGAATTCTCAGTGATTAAAATGTCCCACCGATGTGTTGATGCACTAAAAATGCATATAGCTGCTGTAAAATTCCGAAGAAATTTGTAGCATCAAGACATACGTCGACACTACATTCTCCCACTAAGTTTAAAGAATGGCCAGCGCAAGGCACGTAAAACGCTAATTCATTTTTTTCTCTAATACAAGCTTTTATTTAAAGCGTTATCATAGGTCTGAGCTCTGCAATTTTTAATGTCGATATCGTGCTCCTGTAGTAAATCTAATACATCATTACTAAGCGACCTACCTTTATGACTTTTTATTTGTAAAAAGCAGAAAAACGTTCATAAACGTGACCATCTAAGTAGTATCGGAAAATGACTGACAATTGATCGATGTGGAATATATCTGGGGTAGAATCTCGACGAGTCCCCAATATTTTGCACTGTGTATTTCATCAATAATACGTTTTAATACTTTTGCAGCCATTAACTCTATAAATTCTTCGTTTATAGTTTTAGATAAATAAGAAACTGTACCACTGCCTTTGTGAGCACTTTTTTGCCACTAATTGGCGCTGATTTTATGCCATACAAATTGTAGTTAACTTTCTCGGTATCGAGTGCGTAAAAACAACATCTCGCACTAGGCACACAGAGATATCTCTCTGTCATTACACTATCTAGCCCTTTATTGTCCCTGCCTCGTTTACTGGCGATCTGGTGAGGTCCTCGTACTCTTTACAACATTGATACTATATTTTTATAGTTTTCTTTTTAACCGCATTTTTAAAGTTATTTATATGTTAGTATCAACAGATTTAATTTTTCTCTTTTTGTTTTCTTTAGAATTGTTATTAAATAATCTTTCATATAAATTTATTTAAATTATATAAGTAAAAAAGAAAATCACAACATTTGGCATGAATGAATAACTCAAATTATTA